TGATATCTCAGGATAGATTGTTAGACATAAAAGTGAAGAAATTTAAGTTTAAAATTGCAAAATTTTTAGTCGCATCAAAAATAAAAATTCCAATATTTTACATTTTGTTAGAATATTATACAATAGCATTAAAATTCCGTTCTTTTGGTCCCAAATAATGAATAGTTTAACACAAATTGAGAGCTCTATAAGTCTATGGTTACTTATATCAATGTCGATAACAATAAAAAGTGACAATATTTTTTTTTAAATAATATTCTTCTAGTGGCCTGATAATTGAGTACCTTTTCTAACCTAGAATGGATTGTTAGACATAAAAGTGAAGAAATCTAAGTTTAAAATTGCAAAATGTGTTGTCATATAAAAAAAGGTGCTTATATTTTCCATTTTGTGATATATTATACAGCAGCATTAAAATTCTGTTCTGTTTGTTCATAAGGATGGAGAGTTTTACACATATTGAGAGCTCTATATGTCTACCACTTTTAATATTTATTAGATAACAATAAAAAGTGATAATATGTCTATTTCGTTTTAATATTCTTGTACTGGCCTGATAATTGAGTACTTTTTATACCTCAGGTGAAGAAATTTATTATATTTAAATTGCAAATTGGTTGTCACATAATAAAAAGTGCCAATATTTTCAGTTTTGTTAGAATATTATACAATAGCATTAACATTATGTTCTTTTGGTCCAAAAAAAAAAAGAATAGTCTTACACAAATTAAGAGCTCTATAAGTCTACTGTTATCAATATTTATGTTAATAACAATAAAAAGTGACAATATTTCCTTTTTTTTATTAAGATTCTTGTACTGGCCTGACAATTGAGTTCTTTTTTATACCTCAGGACGGATGGTTAGACATAAAAGTGAAGAAATTTAGGTTTAAAATTGCAAAATTTGTTGTCACATTAAACAGAAATGTGCCAATATTTCAATAGCATTGAAATTCTGTTCTTTTCGTCCCTGAGGATGAATAGTTTTACACAAATTGAGAGCTCTATAAGTCTATGGTTACTAATATTTATGTCGATAACAATAAACAGTGACAATATTTCTTTTTTTATTAATATTTTTGTACTGGCTTAATAATTGAGTACTTTTTATACCTCAGAATGGATAGTTAGACATAAAAGTGAAGAAATTAAAGTTTAAAATTGAAAAAGTTGTTGTAGAATCAAAAAATGTGTGAGTATTTAAATTTTTTGGGATATCATACAACGGCATTAAAATTCTGTTCTTTTTGACTCTAAGAATGAATAGTTTTACACAAATTGCGAGCTCTATAAGTCTATGGTTACTAATATTTATAATTAAAATTGTCATATATACGTGCAAATGTCTCACAGGTTTGAACAGTCATTACATTTATGAAAATCATATGCAACATATGAGCACCAATGAGCAGGGATGCGTACCCAAAGTTAGCTAAATATCTAAATTTTAAACGGTCGTGAATGAAAAAATACTTGCATGGTTTTAATTCACAGGGATTTCAAATCCTTGCATCTCACAGAAAACGTAAATAATATTTTACAAATAACAAAATTTAATTACTATGTTAATTATTTAATACTCTTTCAGTATGGATTTATAAGTCTCTGCTTATATTTTGTATATCAATATTTTCATATAGTGTAATGTTAGACTTTAAGAAGAGATTGATTTGATAAATAAAATGTCCATTCGCAAATACTTGACGTTTGTGTTTATCGATATTATATTCTAAATTTTCGAAAAAAAATCATTAACAGGAATCTATGTTAATTATAAAATTTCAATTCTTTTTTTGTTTGTTTGTTTTAATAGTTCGACCTTATAGCAATTGTATTCATTGTGTTGACCAGCTATCCTACACGTCTTGGTTCATTCACATTATACATCACCCTGTTCACACGCACACTATCGGTTTGCGTTCACACAAATTCCGGTTTAAATGTCAATGAATCCAGAGTCAAAACACTTGAGGTAGGAAGTTTGACACGGAAATCAACTATAAAGTTATTATATGTGATGACGCAAATGCGTATTCTTATCCAGAGTATTAGTGCGTATGCTTTCTATTTACTATTTCTTGCGCAAAAATACCACGTGCATGTATAAATATTAAGTTCACTCGTGAATGCGAATTTTCGCTTTTCTTATCTAAATTCAGGGCACGGCAGTAAGAGCTTGACATGTGACTTTCAAGCACGGTCATCATTACTTACGGTATTCTGACCTCTAGCTGTTTCTCTTTCCTTTTCATTTTTGAGTCACTGTCCTATTATAAATTAAACTTTGACATTTTCGAAATGGTAAGGATTTTCTACCCCAGGAATAGATTACTTTAGATGTATTCGGCAAAACCTTTGTTTCGAAATTTGGGTCCTGCATTCCTTTCAACTTCATACTCTATTTGGTCTTTTTAACTTTTTTTTATTCGAGCGTCAATGATGATTCTTTGTAGACTTATCTCGCGTCTGGCGTACAACATTTTAATCCTGGTATCTTTTTATATCTACATATCGTTTTATATAAATTGGTTCTTTTGAGAGTATGTTCAGGTATTCATAAAACTTATAAAATATACTCTTCAAAACCAAGTTTTCCTGTAAAATATTTGGATTGATTTAAGTAAAATCAGGAAATCCTTAAAATCTGAGATGTTTTATAAGACTGAAATAAGTCTCTATATAAGAGGTATGAATGAAGCTGATGTGTTACTCTTAAGAAAATATACGAAACCTTCTTATAAGTTGCATGCCACAGGGTTTCACTTCACATGGAAATTGGACTATAAATTTATCTATACAACATCTACCATGAGTACAGACAGCTTCAATAACGAGTCGAGAATAATTAATGGCATCCAGGAAACAAAATATGAAGATATGATAGATAAAATAAAATGCATCCTGATTATAAAGCAAACTGAGTGCTTACATTTATATTGCGATTGGTTTGTGCAATTTGCATTAGACATACGGTTTGTAGAAACTTGGATTTGCAAAACGGTTATTAAAAAATGATGTACACTCCCAAGTAATAAATAAAATAGTCGAGCCTTGAAATGTATATTCAAATAGTAGCTGTATATATACACCTTTCTCTTCACAACTATCCAACATTGCTTTCAACTGACTTGTGCAAGAATCTACACACAATTGCATATTTTGAACAAAGGTGTTTTAACATCATCATTATCGTATTCTATTCAGTCAATTATTTCAATTCAAAAGGAAACAAAAATTCAGCAATTTTGGTGACCTGTCAGCCGTCTTGGATTCACGTGTTGCTTTTCTTTTTTTTAAAGAAAGCAACTTGTTTTAAAGTTTTGCAGCGTTTACTTATCCAATAATTTCTGAAAATATTTTTTTAGCGATACTTTATTTATTTATCATTTGCAATATATGAATAAGCCAGAAAAAAGTATATTTAGAATTTTCTCAAATAGTTACAATGTAAAGGGAATAGTTAACGCGTGTTTTCTAATTGCACGTACAGTTAAAGATGTAAAATCTGTAGTAAACGGCCGTTTACTGCTGACTAATAGGACACAGAGTAAACGCGCGTTTACTCGAGTAGACATTAGAAATTTCCATTTTGACCGCGTTTACGCAATTGTAGTAAACGCCCGTTTACTGGTAAACGCGAAAATTGGAGTTTACTTTATGTTATGCTTGGTCTGCACCCAACTGTATCACTTAATACCGGAAGTAATGGTTTCAAACCAGAGGTTGCTGATCATCTCCCTCAGCATGCTTATGTCATAGAAAAGAACTACAAACTATATTTTGCAAGACAATCTTCTGACACCGTTGTTTTTAAACGAAGTGTTATAAAGTAAAAGTGTATTTACTCTTTAATTATTAATATATGAGTTGAAAGGACCTTAATGTAAACCATTGACTGATAATTGACAAGATAAATAAATTCATATAGATTCCAGGCTTGAATTTTATACACCAGACGTGCATTTCGTTTTCAAAGGACTCATCGGTGACGATCGAAAAAAAAAAATCAGACAAGGCCAAATAAAGTTCTAAATGAAAGATCATTGAAGACCCAAAACTGCCAAAGGTATTTACTTATCGGCTCTTATAAATCAACGGACATACTGTTATATAATTAATATTGTTTGACCTGTTTGGAATCTGTGCAATCCATATGACTTTTTGCCGTAAGTGAATATTATAGCAAACACACCGCAGATGATTTCATCAACAAGCTAATCTTTTTTTTTTCGATAGTCGATAGTTCAATTGGTACTTATTGTGCACCCCTACTTGTCGACTAGTTATTGTAATCTCATGAAGAAAAAACAGCAATAAAAAAAAATCTTGTTTAGTTCTTTTATTTCACTTTCATAAATATTGATGATGTAATGTGACTCAATCTCTAACATTGCCATCAGCGCGTGCATTTCCTATATCCCAGTGATACTGAGATTCCGGGTACTACCAACACTACAAGGTCCGTTTCCTACATTGATCTGTTCCTCGATATTGACACAGACTTCAAATATTTTCCAAACGTGATGATTCAACTTTTCTATTGTCATTTTCCTATTTCCCAGTCGTAACATACCCGCTGTCTCGAATATACGGCATTCGTGAACAGGGGTATACTCCTTACAGACAATTTTTTGAACAGTGTTGAGGACGAACTACTAAAACCGACACTTCATAGTTTTTACGGTCATTATCACGAATTTATCATGTTGGTTGGGACGTGTTTGTGTTAACCAACAATCGACATCTTTGGGGCTCTTGATATAAGTGGTCTGATCTGTACATTTATCGATTGTGTACCATTCCCACACCAGGTTTTTACCTTGATTTGTATCTTCTGAATGGTTTAACGCGCTTTGAACGTCGGTAGATTAGTGTTGCCTCAAATTTATTTGTTATTTGTTCAAAAGAAACAAACTATTATTTTTGCAATTAATAAAGCAAACTATATTTTCCTACACATCAAAATGTTTGGTAATGTATCTGATGTTGTTTTTGTTAGCTCTCCCGAAAGACAAAAAAGACGGAAGCGGAAAGAAAATGTCAAAAGAAGAAAAAACAGGTGAAATGTATAACGTTTGTTATTAGAATAAGATTTAATTATGTTTTTATTTTATTTTATTCGATTCACACTAAATTATTTATTATCAACATGTACATAAATGTCAAAATTTAACTAAAAGACCGTAACTGTAATTTTGTTTATTCGATTCTGTTTCTGTTATGGTTTCGGTTAGATAATGTGTTATGTCTTATCGTTTGCACAATTTCATATTACTTTTTTTATAAGTAGTCCAGAGGAGAAGCAAAAACAATCAATGTCTGAATTTTAAAACGATATCTTGACGTTCAACCTTATCTCATCCAGAGGCCCTTGCATTCCGGATTTACTATTAGAATGTTTTACACTTATATACATTGTACTAATTAAAACGGTGAATAGAAACAGTACTTACAAGAAGGAGAATATATCAAGGCAAAGATCAAAATCATTAGTCGAAAAAACATGGCCTATGCATAAAGATTAAGATCGAGCAACAACTAAATCGTCGAAGGAGAACTGGATTATCACATTAGAGAAAAACAGTTTTATTTACACATGTGACACCCGCTGTGTAAGTCATGATAAAAAAACCTTTGGCGACATGACTTGTATAACCGGTTGCGTATATGGATAATAAACTAATGTGGAAGGAGTGTAGTCCTTGATAGTCAATGTCAAACCCCTATTACCGTCTATCATCATATGCGTATCATCCTAACAGTATTTGGCGAAACAGATTTTAAATGACATAGGAACACGAAAAGACCAAAGCAAAGGCTTTATCAACTGGAAATTTTAAGTACTTGAAAATAAAGTCACTTATCAATTAAATTGGGATGATTGGCGGTCTATACACCTTAAATTTCACAAATAATTTTTGACGTAGGTGTAAACATTGTTAAATGAGCTAGGAAGGTTAGCTGAATACGAAACAGATTACATTAGCGATATAACTGTATATGAATAAGGCAAAACATAAGTTTTGATAGAAAAAAAACCGGATATTGATAGAAACAACCGAATGATCTGCTCCATATTTGAAATTGATAATTTGTAGAGACATTATTTGTTGTAGTTCTCTGTACATGTACTTAAAATTGGCAGGTTTTGATTTTGTCTCAAAGCATGGGAAAACTATAACGATTTAACAAAGTCATTTTTGGTGCATTTTTATAATTTGCAATACTCTCAAAAGCAATATGTGCATTATCTATGAAATTAGAGAAACTTGTTATTATACAAGATTGCTTTCGCGTTTAAAGAAGCCGATCGAACTCTGATTCACTAAAACATGTTGTTTCTAGATACGTTCAGCACAAAGGTACGAAATTGTTTCAATAGCATCTACGTTAACAGACTTTTAAATTCTCAGTTTATATTCAAAGCTTAAGAAGAAGATTGGTTACACGATAATCATTGTTAAAAAGGACATCTTTCTTATTAAATTTTTACTATTTCGAGTTGATGCAAAAAAGAGACCTGGACGTTACAAAAGCGCATACGTTACACATACTTACGGTATAGACATTCTAAATTTGATATGAATTAATCCTAAAACCGAAACATCAATCTATGCATAAACTTGCTTTAATAGTTGCAACAATGTGGACTTAGCATCGATTACAATATTTTCAAATCTGTTTAATGATTTCTATATTAAGGCATTTTTTGTTTAATTACTTCAGGAAAGCACAGATGCGACATTGAAATGGGTTAGTGTTTATATAATGCAGAGCAAAATTTGATGAATGCCATTAATTCATGTTAATGCTTTAAAACATTGATATACATGTATTTCAATAATTCCAGTGCCCGCGGCTCATTTAGACACCACTACACCAGGATGAGTAAGCATTTCAACCAACTAAACACATAAGATAAAACCATCCTTCATTTCACTTTGTCTAAAACAGGTACAAGCTTAATATCAACAACTTTGCTGTCAATGTTCTTTACAAATAAAAAGATGTGGTATGAGTGCTAATGAGACAACTATCCATCTAAGTCTAATGTATAAAAGCTAACAATTATAGGTCAAAGTATGGCCTACAACAAGGAGCGTTCGCTCACACCGAATAGCAAGCTATATAAGGACCCAATGTGTACTGAGCACAGTAATGTGCATGAAAATCATCTGATATACAAGTTACTGTGTTTAATTTCAATATATGTAGTTTATCTAACATGTTCAAAGGAATAACAATGTAGTGTACTCAGCACTTGCATAATTGGCTAGTCTTACATCTGGAAAAGCTATTTCATCTTATCATATTGATATTATTAACGTTATTAATTCATCAGTTTATATCGGAAACAAATAAAAAACAGCGTGTCGTATTCGGTATGACATTTTATGTCATTAGATAAAATTATTTATATTTCTGAAATGTATTCATGTTTCACGCAAATGAAACAGAATACACGGTATTTGCTTGCAATACTTTGAATCTGATTGCAATAATACATGATACAAACTCAATATACCGACAACTTTTGGTGCTACAGCTTTATTTGTACAAAAAAAAAAACAAATACAAAATACATTGACATACAAATGAGGAGACGTTGTATGATTGCCAATGAGACAACTATCCACCAAAATTCACATGCAGTGGATGTTAGCAATTATAGGCAACCGTACGGCCTTCAACAACGAGAAACCCCATACCATATAGTCAGTTACAAAAGGCCTCGACATGAAAAATATGAAACAATTAAACTGAGAAAACTGACGATCGAATTTATAACAAAACAATTTACGAAAAGCAAATTCGACAGACATGATCCAACAACAATCACTGAACTACAGGCTTCTGATTTAGGACAGGTTCATAAATAATGTAGCGGGGTTAAACATATTTGTGAGCGCTCAGCCCTCCCTTAACCCGGGACAGTTCTGTAATAGCACAACATAAGAACAACTATAGAAATCAGTCGAAAAAGGCTTATTCCAGAATAAGAAATAAACATCAAGAACTTTCAAAGCGGTTTGTGTGTTTCTACCGGCCGACAAAGCAGCCAACAATTTGGTGGTGCTATGCCGTAAATACTGCACGGACGTCCTTAAGAATGCAATTGTAAATTCATCTACATTCAAGTCCGTGCGCTCCATAGAGAGTCATATAGTAAACAAACATATCATAACCACATCACAGCTTGAAACCTCTTCTGAACATTTGAAGGTCCCTACTATGTATTGGTTACCTAAACTACACAAAAAACCGGCAAAATATCGTTTCATCTCGGCCTCTAGTAAGTGATCTACAACTAATATTTCAGTGCTTTTAACTAGTTCCTTAACTACTATCAAAGAACTTATCATAAACTTTTGTAATAAAATATACGAAAATAGTGGAATTAAATATTTTTGGAGTGTAACAAATTCTTTGGATATTTTAGATAAATTGCGTGCTTTTGATGGTCCTTTTGATTCTGTTGATAGTTTTGACTTTTAAACTCTTTTAACTACACTTCCAAACAATCTTATCAAACATAAGTTTTCCTATTTAACTAAATGGTCGTTTGGTAAATCTGAATGCAAATTTATTTGCTGCAACTCATTTAAAGCTATCTTTTATTCACAAAAAAAGACACTTTTTAAACAAGTACTTGAGAACGTACTGTTAGATAAGGATATGATAAAATTGAATAAACTTACTATTACTAATTCCATCTCTACAAATAAAAAAAAACTATTTGAGAGGCATAGTCGGGATTTGTTTGCCTTTAAGCATTGATTGTCAATGAGACAACTCGTAACCAGATGCCAAAAACACATAGAAGTTATCAATAACATGTCACCCTTTGACCTTTAAAAATGAGCATAACCTCCGAAATGACAAATGTAAACCTAAATCGAGCAAACTAATAGACTTATTCATGCATAAAAAAAAAGAACAAAAGTCAACCTGTATTCATAATTTTTCATGTCGGTGCAGTTTATACTATTCTACACCATATGGGTTTTGCACCTACTGGAAGGCACAACGGTGACCACTAGTTGCTAAATACCACCTCCTTAATTCTCTGTTAGATATATATAACACTGGCAATTATACCACAACTTTCGTTTGATATTTATTGGAAATGCAATTAATCATGTATATTTAATATTTTAATTATTTATATGGGCTTTTAGGAAACGTATACGGCAACGCGCAAATGATTATTCAGGACAATAGTGAAGACAGTGTATATGCAAATGCAGAAAGTAAATTGGACAACAGAACTAATACTGGCAAAGTGTACATACCAAAAAAGGTAATTATCAACCATATCATTGTTACAAATGTACAAGGTTATTCGAATGTTTTCTTTGTGAAAGTTGTTTTCATAATTTAAAAATATGTCTGCTATTTTATCGTTTCAAATCAGTCTTGATACGAGGTGAAACTAAGCTACAAAAAAGTATAACAATAATACCGAGCTCCAACGTAAATTCCTAAAGGAGAAGTCCTATAAATCTGACAAAATTAAACTTTATCAATCAACGGAACGAGTGGGAAACAGCTTCATATTCTTGAATCTTTTAATACTATTTTTTAAATAAGATTAGAGTTTTAATGAACTTGGGACGTTAAACAGCTTGATGATACAGATTTGTCTTAAATGTTTACTTTACAGCTAAACCATTAATTTGTAAAAGTTCATTTGTAATAGGTATGTTGGTGTCAATCAAATGTTATAATTTGCCATAAGAGATATAGCTGTCATAAAATCTCTCAAAATTTGTTAGATGAATGAGGTGGTCAAATCATATTTGGTTCAATTATTCTTAGGAAATTAAATCGAAACTGTTGTAAGAAATTCATTACTTAAGTCAATGCAGGTATCAACATGTTTACGTGGTTGTCTCAATTATGTCCTGCCGTCAGATTATATAAAGCATATACAAAAGGAGATGTGGAACGATTGCCAATGCGACAATTATCCACCACAGATTAAATGGAGTGGATGTAAGCAACCGTGGCATGTTAAGTATTGTGAACATCAATTTTTTAGTTAGCAAAGTTCATTGAATGATGCGTTTTTATCTGGATTGTCGAATCTATGATATTCAAAGAACGAATTTGACGGATTTGTAGGAAAACGCGTTGCTCCAACTGAAAGCGGAATTGTTTAGATAGTACATGTTATTCTTACGTTATTATTTAGTCTCTAACAAGCTATACACGTAGAAAACTAATTAAACACGGGATGCCATATCCTTATTTTTACGGTGATGTTGTTTACCGAGCCTGTAAAATAAGATTACAATCATTCAAATAAACTTATTCTAAAATGTTACCAATTCAATACTGTAGTTAGATTTTTGAATATTGTTTTTAAAGGTATAAATATAGATTTTTTTATTAATATATTGAAACCCAATTAAATATTATTGTTAGACTCACATAATGTACTTTCACGGTCCTACCATCTGTCGATACCTTTATTTTTGCATTGCATAAGGTCATGCTTTCTCTAACTGATAATGAGGTCTTTATACTAAATCAATTGGATATTGGATGTGTACTGTTTAATTGAGTCTTAGATATATGATTTATATATTTGGTTTTATTAGCTTTGTGTCAGTACTCTCAGTTCTGTGCTTTGTGTTTTCTGTGCACGCGATTTTGTCTTTGATTGTTATTTTTGGTGTGCTTTGTATCGATTTGATGAGCCCTTTTCAACTATTTTTTATATTTTTTCTTATATTGAACTGTTTCACCACTGTCCAAGATAAGTGGCAGGGTTTGGCTCCAGCAAATGTGCTTTACCCAAGACAGGACCCTGTAATTCAGTGCTTGTCGTTTGTTGCTGTCTATCATTTGCGAGTATTATTTGATACCCATAGCAGGTTGTTAGTTCTCACGTTTGAAATGTTTAACATTTGTCATTTCAGGGCCTTTTATAGCTTAAAATACCGTATTGGTTTTCTATGTCACTTGGTCTCTGGTAGAGAGTTGTCTCATTGGCTATGATACCACATCTTCTTATTTTTATATAAACCGGTTTTGTGTTTATTAACATTTCATTGTGTTTGTACCTTTGAAAATTAAATTCTTTAAACCGGAGAAAATTATATAATTTATCTTAGGCGACACAATTATTTATCCCCAGTACTTATATGAAAAGACATATCTAGTTATGATATATCGTTGTCAAGTTTGCAATTAATATGAAGCCAAGTGCTTTTGTGCTGTTTATAATGAAAAACATAATGGCAATTAACAAATTCAAGCCTTGTCTATATGCGCTTTTTATGTTATTAGTGTTGTTTTCAATTGCATCGACCCAGTTTTACAAATATTACAGACGGGTGGGAAAATTCAATTCCAAAGTTTACATGTAATCTATAAATGGTCTTTGATAAACCGTAGCGATCACTATTTAAATAATTTGATATACTGGTAAATTCATTGAAACTGGAAATAATAACAAGATAAAAAAATATTGACCGTATTTATAAATATCTATAGAGTCCACTGTCTTATGAACATCATCGACGTATCCGTAAACGTTTACGTCACAAGGGAAAATATGTGACGCCTCTAAAGAAAAGTGATTGTTATATGACGTCAATAGTTTCCGTGCCGCAAATTCTCGAATCAAGTGTAACAGATTCCGAAATAGCGATTAGCTATTAATTTTCTTATTGATATTCAGACCCGCGATAACCCGAGTCACTTTCTTCAAGATATTATCAAATTACTGCTCAACGCAGGTCAAATGCGTACCTACCTTGCGAAATGAAAACTATGAATTATAATATAGAGCGGAATATAAAAAAAAAACACTTTTAGCTAACCTGGCTCACATCGCCAGTGTTAGCTTTTCTTATCAAATGACGTCCATCGTCTGTCGTCCGTTAAGGTCCATTGTTGTTTTTTAACTTTAACAAAAATCTTCTACTCTGAAGCTGACGGACCAAATTAAACCAAACTTAGCCACAATGATCATTATGATATTTAGTTTACAAAATGACCCGAATGACCCTGCCTGCCAACCAACGTGGCCAGGAAAGCTTGAAATAGAACATTGGGGTAAAATTCAAGTTTTGTATTTTTTCTTGAAAAAAAAACCTAAATAGAGAAAATCTGACAGGGTAACAATGTCCAGATAGCTGAGATCTATTTACTGGCTTTTCCAGTACAACTGTCAATCAACCTGCTATGAGCTTGAAATTTCATACAACAAAAATGAATATCAAAACAATATCTATAGTTAGTTCTAACATGACCCAAATCATTTGTCGAATCTTTATTGAAGTGATTGCCTTTTTTTGGCGATTTTTAATGTTGTTTTTTGTAACTTTGCCTATTATCTTAAAACTTTGATAAATGGATAGAATTTTTAAAACGCAAAAATGATCAGTAAGAAAAGATTTACAAATAAGCAGATTATTGGTGAAATCGTTGATCAACTCTCTATAAAAATAAGTGCTTTTAATGATATCTTTTCCATTTTTTTAGCGCTTTTGACTATTGTTTTGAAATCTATGAAAAAAAAATATATAAATTTAAATAGAAAAAACATGATAAAGAAGACAAGTCAGCACAAAGGTTTGCAAAGATACAATTATCAGTTGTGTTCTAATATGAATTATTGTCCTTCAATGACGATTTTCCCCTCTTTTTGTGTTTGGGCAAAACCTACAGAAGATAGAAGAAAACGGTATACAGAACAAACTGCCAAGTGTTCATCTAGAAGTTAATAGCTATTCATCCAAAAACCCATAGATTCTAAGTTGATCATAACTATCAAGTTGCAAATGCCCGTTTTCCCTGTCAATTTCAAGTTCAGATCTATGAACATCGGTCATAACAAGCCAAAATGTATGATACCAGCCATTGCAGATCGGTCGAAGGTTTTCAGACGGCTACTACACAAAAAGATCGATCACAGCAAATTGATCATTAGTGAACGGCAAAGAAAGAATTTTAATGTAGTAAAAAAATCTTGCTGATATTAGCCTCTGTCAGCAAGCTTTGTTCGTTTTTGAAGTCGTCCTAATTCATTGAAACTGTCTTGTTTACGTGAGAGAATTCAGAGAGACTTCCAAAATGACAAATGTAAAACAAAAAAACAAGAAAACAAACGGCCTGATTTGTGTACAATTATAAGTTCATAAAAGGGCAAGATATACACACATGCATGGTACAATTCTGAGAAAATTATTGATATTCTTTAGCGTTGAGGAGATGATTAATTTAAACATTCTAGTCAATGTGATAAAATTAAAACTTTGTAAGTTGATATAAGCTCTATAATATTTATCCTTCAATGTTAACTATTTATTAATGACAACCGGTATGGGGTTTACAACAATCAATTAGAAATTGACTAATTAATCAAATTAGATATAATTGTGTTTTCTAGACAAAATGAGTGGGTCTTTCAAGGAAGATAAGTGTATCTTGCCATCTCATTCGTAAGCATAAGTGGCATAGGACAATGTTTTTGGTTTTGGTATGGTTACCCATAAAAATTTACTCAGGTCAAAATATGGAATAAAATTTCTACAATTGCATGTCCATTTTATTTTTGGATGTGTCTTCATGTTCAAAGGAGTTTCGAATTAACAAATTTTCGGACGCGTACACATGTCCTCACAGATTTGTTGTCAGTAAAAAAAGTAACTGTTGTTTTTATAAGCTGAAAATAAAACTTAGTAACAACTCATTTAAATTACCATTTAGATCGGCATTTTGAATACTGACGATTTCCTCAAAAACATGCTTTTCAATTTCACAGTCATTAAGCTTTTTTGCTTCTTTCTATCTACCGGGTTATCAAGTCACAATATCCGCTTCATTGTATTTTGGTTTATTTCACAAAAGCAATAGATTATAAATGTCATGGGAATTTTCATTCGAACAAACAATTTCTATGCGGTATGGGTTTTCTCATTGTTGATGGTCATACGGCGGCCTATAAAAGAGGGGCTTAAGATACCAAAGGAACATTAAAAATCATAAGTCAAAAAAAAAAAAATGAAAACGCCATAAAAAAAGACAAGCATACACATCAAACAAGACCATCCGTCGGCTTGCTCATATAAGTACAAACCGGGAGATAAAACTAATTCGGTAGGTAATTGCTTACATTCACTTATTTGAACTATGGCGTATAGTTATCTCATTGGTTCATGTATTTATACCACATCTCCTTATATTTATATGGTTTAATTAAAAATTGGAGGTATCAAAAACTGTTGCTGTAGATTTAAAAGTTATGATGCAATTGCCTGTTTAATAAATGAATTGACAGCAAACCTT